ATCCCTTTGATCTCTCCCGCGCTGTAAAGAAAACTTAAACTCGAGCATGGATCGCGTTTGCGCACATATCATGCGTAATTACATGTGGTTTGTCGAACAAACTCAACTTCTCTGTCGTCCAAACGACAGAAGGAATTATGTTTCACTCACATGACATAATGCCCCCAGGAAATGAACCCAAAGAAAGGAATCTGTTTCTGGACGTTATTCAACAAAAGGAAAAAATTCTGACGATACGACATGGCGCAAAGCCAAAATGAGTTGTCTTTGCGTGAAAATGGTACAAGAAAGGACTTCTATCTTATTTTTCTCCAATAACGCAACCGAAAACGTCGGATACGAGTCGTCTTTGAACGGTAGTGTCCCGTAAAAAGACCCGAGCAGTTTCCGATTCTGTTTGACTAATCAGCATCACACGAGTACGGTACGTCAGCTTGTCGCCATGAGGATACTTTGTGTTGCGTCGCAACGTCTCTTTCGAAATCGTAAGAGCACGCATGTCAACTTGTCGTCATCATTGATCAGGATACGTCATGTGTTGCGTAGCAACGTCTCTTTCCAAAATCCTGATCCTGATCCTGATGGCAGTCCGACCTGCTTCATGCTATGTGGACTACAGAACTTTTACGATTTGCATTAAGTTTCTTCTGTCGTTTCTTTCTTGCTGTAGAGTCGCCCCATTTGTGTTTAGCAGTCGAGTTATTTAGGTTCTGTTTCTTGGCAGCTTATTAAAGGAAACGAAAAGGAAAGATTTCTGTCAATATTATTTAACTGGGAAGTGTCTATATGGTGAGTGAACAGTTGTCCTTTGGAAATAAAATTATTAAATACCCTAGTCAGTCGTCGGTCGGTTGGCCCTGAGTTAGTGAGTCGGTCNACTTCTCTGTCGTCCAAACGACAGAAGGAATTATGTTTCACTCACATGACATAATGCCCCCAGGAAATGAACCCAAAGAAAGGAATCTGTTTCTGGACGTTATTCAACAAAAGGAAAAAAATTCTGACGACACGACGTGGCGCAAAGCCAAAATGAGTTGTCTTTTTGTGAAAATGGTATGAGAAAGGACTCCCATCTAATTTTTTTCCAATTACGCAACCGAAAGCGTCGGACTCGAGTCGTCTTTGAACGGTAGCGTCCAGTAAAATGACCCTAGTAGTTTCCGATTCTGTTTGACCAATCAGCATCACACGAGTACTTACGTCAGCTTGTCATCATGAGGATACGTAATGTTGCCTGGCAACGTCTCTTTCGAAATTGCAAGAGCACGCATGTCAACTTGTCATCACTGATCAGGCTAGGTAATGTGTAGCGTAGCAACGCATCTTTCCAAAATCGCGGGCTTTTTGAGATCCTGATCACAGTCCGACCTGCTTCATGCTATGTGGACTACAGATTTTTTACGATTTGCGATAAGTTTCTTTTGTCGTTTCTTTCTTGCTGTAGAGTCGCCTCTTTTGTGTTTAGCAGTTGAGTTATTTAGGTTCCTGTCTCTTTGCAGCTTATAAAAGGAAACGAAAAGGAGAGATTTCTTTCAATATTATTTAACTGGGAAGTGTCTATATGGTGAGTGAACAGTTGTGTTTTGGAAGTAAAATTATTGAATTACCCTAGTCAGTCGTCAATCGGTTGGTCGGTCGGTCAGTGAATACAACAACAAACAAACAACAGCGACTCACTGTGTTAGTGAGCCAGCCAGTCTAGTAATAGCGGAGCTCCGGCGGCCCGAAGGGCCGCCAACCGGAGCCCCATACTCATATAGGAAAGAAAAGGAAACCCATGAGTTGATTTTCTCATGGTTATCATGGCTA